TAACTTTCAAAATGAGGATATATGTATTCTTTACCAGATGAAACAATTGCCCAACACCTGCTCTTTACATTTACTTGGTAAGCTAGCATTTCATACTGTTTAAATTTGTCTGGCTGGAAAATGTTTAAGTGCTTTTTTCTGGCATTTTGTACTAAAACATGTAATTTTATTTATACTTTCAATCATGTTTCAGTGCAGCATTTGCGCTATGGAAGATAATGGGTGTTAGAAGAGTAGTAGAAGAACTAGTTAATGGTTGGTTGTGAATTTCTCTTTTCTTTCTTCCTTACTGAGTTTAAAAGCACTTCACAACATTGTGGTTCTGATTCAGTTTTTTTATAATATGCAGAGAGGCGAGTTTAAGTGTCATGAATTGTTACCTATATTAAGACATTACTTCTGTTTGAGCTTATTAAAACCAGGGATCAGATTTGATCAACAAAACTTGTATCATGCTGGAAAACAGTGACAGGCCAGAAAATACTATGTATCCGTGCTTTTTGGAGGTCATAATCACTTTTCATACATCAATTTTCTGGTAATTTCTAAGCTCTTTCTAATTTAACTAAAAGCCTATAATTTTTCAATTATATTAATATTTCATCAACTATTTATTTTCTCAGCCAGCATTTACCTTATCAAGGAGAGGAGGAATTAATGGCTTAGAGAGTAGTCGAAAAGAATCGAATTAGTGGTTAGATATGCTTTCTTAATGCTGCTTTCTGTTCTTGCTTTGATGTATGTGAATAAGTGATTTTCTAGTCATTCTAAATATTCTGAGAATTCAAGAATTTTGTTACTGATCATCAAAGCAAATACAGGAGGCCATAGAAATGCAGAACTAGTTTATCTTATTAGGAGAAGAAACTTTATTGAGGGACTTGTAAAAAGAGATAATTTGCAAGATGAAACAAGAAGCTCAATCCTATTCTTAACATTTTCCTGGTGAGCTTCAAAGTGATCTACGTTTCTATCTCCCGTTTGCTTCTGCGTAGACAATTTTTAGTGATAAAAGATACTTGACACACAGCATTTTCCAAAACCAAACCCAGGGAAACTTTGAGAAGAGGAAGAATGAGTTTTGGAGAGTAGAGGAAAGAACTCAAGAATCGATAATGGTGGTTATGCTTTCTCAATGTGGCCTCTGTTCTTTCTTAATTCTTGATGTTTATTTAGAAAGTAAATCACATCATTTTGTAACGGTTCTGTTTATTTATTTTATATGGTGCTAACAATGCTAAGAATTTCAAATTGCACATGATATATGCACAGAAGAAAAATTGAGGCACTTGTAAGCAGAGAGAAAATCTACCAGATGAACCAGTGCTCAATCCTTTGTCTCACATTTGCCGGTAGTAGAATTTGATACTATTAATCATTGATATATGCTTAAGCATTTTTTACTTTTAACTAAGGCATTCAAATTTCTATTTGATCCACAGCTTCAGAATTGTGCCTTAGGAAAAATATGGAAGAGGATGGACAAATATAGGAGATGATGTACTCAAAAAGACTCAAGTGGTTGGTTATGCTCACTTCTTTGTTTTTCCTTATTTTTAAACTAGAAAGCACATCACAGCACAATTACTGGTTTTGTAAGTTCTTTAAATTTTATGCAGGACTGATTATATATCTGTTATTTGTTTCTCTTACTGTTTGATTGCTGTTATGTCAGAAGCCTTTCAAATTACAGTGGATTCCCTCTATGAAATCCTTTGATGATTCATTGTGATAGGTTTATTTTCTTGCTTATCTCTCTACATAGTGTGGACATTCAAAACCCATGTTCTCTAATTAACTTTATTTTGATATGTTATTTGATGCAGAAGGCAAGTTAAGATGTCATGAATTTCTGAAGAATCAAGGTTGACAATGAGTCATAAATTTCAGCCAAAACTTTCCTATGTTAAGGCATTTGTTCGCTTTAGCTAATTGAAACCAGGCATAAAATTCCTTCGCAAAACTTTTTGTCCTGCTGGAAAACAGTGACAAAACCAGGAAAATACTTTTGTATCTGTACGTCTTGAAGGTCATAATACCTTTTTGTACGTCAATTTTCTCTTAATGTTTAAGCTCTTCTTAATTTAACTAAGGCATATAATTTTTATTATAGTTTCAGATTTCATCAAAATTTATTTTCTCAGTCCAGCATTTCTCGTTATCAGGGGAGGAGGAATTAATGGCATTAGAAGAGTGGTCCATAGAACTCAATTGTGGTTGGATATGCTTTCTCAATGCTGCTTCTGTTTTCTTGTTTCTGATTTTAATTAGGTAGCATATAGAGTATATGTTTATTTCTTTTGATGTATGTGAAGAAGGGATCATCAGAGTCAATGGAGGCTATAGAACTGCAGGACCAATTTATCTCATTTAAGGAAGCGCTTGTAAACAAAAAGATGATTTGCCAGATGAAACAAGAGTTCAACGTTCTTAACATTTCCTGGTGAGATTCCAAATGATCTAAGTTTGTATCTCCGCATGCTTCTTGCATAGAGCAAATTGTATTGATAATAGATACCTGAAACAGAGCATTTTCCAAAACCAAAGTCCCAGACCTTCAAAGAGAGGAAGAGTGGTTTTTAGGTGTAGCCGAAAGAACTCTATTAATGGTTGGGAATAGAAAGTGTGAGGCACATCTTCATCATTTATTTTCTTCCCCAAATTGAAAACTCTCGCTTTGGGTGTATGAAATAGGGAAGAGGGATTATGAGATTACAAGAAAGGAAGAAGAAGATGATGATATTACAATCTGTCATCTTTGGTTTCCTTGACAATTAGTTACGCCCCAAATTGAAGGCACTGCCAAACCACATTGTTCAGAATACAGATTGACAAAACATAATGTGTACTGTCCTCTGTACACACGATTGATGAGGGGAAGATGAGAGGTAAATTTTTTATTTTTGTTTAAATATGTATTTGTGATTGAACAATTAATGAATTTGAAGATATTGAAAAAAGGCAGGTGGTTAAGGTAAAGATAAGATAGATTAGTTAGAGGTATTTAAATAATGGTCCAAATTCAAGAATTAGTAAATATAATATTAATACAATGGTGGCCTGGCATTGCCAATTTTAATTCACTAATTTATTCCCTTTTGATTTCATTATCTTTATAAATTAATTTGATTTCATCAAAATTTTCTATTAGTTATTTAAAAATAATAGATATTTATATATATTTGTAAATTAAAGAATGCATTGGTTCATTAATACAATAAGGTACATAACTGCTTTGTGTTTCGATTCTAATGTGCTGAAATGATTTACTCTCTCATCTTTGAAGGAAATCTCAAGGGTAAAGCAGTAAATAAAGGAGAAACAACAATGAAAAATATTCATGATTGTTGGTTGTAGGGAAAATGAGAGGTAATTATTTTATTTTGTTTAAATAAATGTATCCAATTTCTGATTCAATATTTAATCAATTATTCAAATTTCATGTGTTTAAGTATATTTATTCATAGATTTTCTTATTACTTATTTAAAATTTATTATAAAATTAAAGAATGGATTGGCCCATTAATACCTATCGAAGAGAGAGGACTTAAGGGCTTTAGAAGAGTCGTTGAAAGAATGAATAGTGTTTAGTATGCTACTCATGTTGCTTTTTGTTCTTGCTTTGATGTATGTGAAGAAGTGATTTTCTAGTCATGCTAATTATTCTGAGAATTCAGAATTCTGTTACTGATCATCAGAGTAAATACTGGAGGCCATAGAATTGGCAGAACCAGGTTTATCATTTTGGAAGAAGAAACGTCGTTGAGGGACTTGTAAAAAGAGATAATTTGCAAGATGAAACAAGAGCTCAATCCTGCTCTTAACATTTTCCTGGTAAGCTTCAAACTGCTCTACGTTTCTATCTCCTGTTTGCTTCTTGCATAGACAATTGTGATTGAGATAGATATTGACACACAGCAATTTCCAAAACCAAACCCGGGAAACTTTAAAGAGAGGAAGAATGGGTTTTGGAGAGTAGCGGAAAGAACTGATTAATGGTTGGTTATGCTTTCTCAATATTGCTCTCTGTTCTTTCTTTAATTCTTGACGTTTATTAGAAAGCCAATCACATCATTTTGTAACTGGTTCTGTTACTTATTTTTTTTATGGTTGCTAACAATGCTAAGAATTTCAAATTGACCAAATGACATCATGCACTGAAGTAAACTTGATTGAGGCACTTGTAAGCAAAGAGAAAATTACCAGATGAAACCAGTGCTCAATCCTTTGTTCACATTGGCTTGGTAAGCTAGAATTTGATACCATTATATCTGAAATACTGTTAGTGCAATTTTTTCCTTTTAACTAAGGCATGCGAATTCTATTTGATCACAGCTTCCAAATTTGTACCTTAGAACAAATGTGGAAGAGGATGGACAAATATAGGATTATGTACTCAAAAGGACTCAGTGGTTGGTTAGCCTTTCTTACTTATTTGTTTTTCCTATTTTTAAACTAGAAAGCATATCACAACACAATTACTGGTTTTGCATGTCTTTAAATTTATGCGAACTGATTTATTATCTGTTATTTGGTTTCTCTTACTGTTGGATTGCTCTTATGTCAGAAGCTTCTCAAATTACGGTGGATTCCCTCAATGATCCTTTGATGATCATTGTGTAGGTATTTTCTTGCTCATCTCTCTACTCATGTGGGACATTGAAAAGCCATGTTCTCTATAATTAAACTTTATTTTGATATGTTAATTTTGTGCGAGAGAGGCAAGTTTAAGATGTCATGGATTTCCTGAAGAATCAAGGTGACATATGATGTCTTGAATTTCAGCAAAACTTTCCTATGTTAAGACATTTGTTCACTTTCAGCTAATTGAAACCAGGCATATAAATTCCTTCTGCAGAACTTTTTGTCATGCTGGAAAAACAGTGACAGACCAGGCATAAAATTACTTATGCTAACAATTTATAACTTCTGTCACTGATCGGCAGAGAAAATACTCCGGGGCAAAGTAATGAAATGAACAGTTGTAATATTCAATAGCAGAAATTTCGGTGCGGGCAATTCTATCGAAAAGAAAAGTTGCCCAATGAAACAGCCAACAAGTGCAGATCTTTTGGTTTTCAAAGTTTCTTGGTGAGTAGCATCTCATCTATCTGTTTCCTACATTGCTTCTTCAAGAAAACAAATTGTTATTGATGATACCGCATTACCTATTCATTTCTTCTTTAATAACTGGTTTTTGTGTGTTTGTCAGGGAGCTTCTCTAATTGTACTGAATTTCATCTATGAAATCTTTGAGGACTCAGTTTGAGGTTTCTCTTATCAAGTTGTAAGGAAAGTTACCTATGTTAAGGCGTTTGTTCCCTTTGAGCATATTGAAACCCGGCATCAAATTCCCTGTGAAGAACATTTTTTCACGTCGGAAACTATTGACAGGCCTGGAGAAGAAAGTCCTAAATCTTTTGGTTTTCAAATTTGCTTGGTGAGTAACTTCTCATCTGAGTTTCTATTTGCTACGTTGCTTCTTCAGAAGAACAAACTGTCATTGATGGTAGCCAATCACCTATTTATATTCAACCTTTGTTTAGAAAACTTGTATATGGTATTAATATTAGCATCTTCATGTGAGAGTGTGCTTTAGCATCAGATGATCATGGAACCATGAATCGTAACAGAGGAGGAATTCAAACATAGTGATACAAGCATGCTAATAGGGGAATTATCAATGAAAGTTGTGACTTGTGACTTTTAAGAAGATATTGAGCAACTGCATCTGTCATTACACTGGATTCTCTATGAAATCCCTTGATGACTAAGAAACTAAGTTTGTTCTGGTTGTCCCTCTACTTATCAGGCAAGTTTAAGATGTCATGAATTTGTGTTTTTTTTTTTTTCCTCTATATGAGCTTATTGGAACCACACATTTTCTGTCTACTGAAGTTTGTATCATCCTGGAACAAGTAGACAGGCCTGGAACCTATGTACTTGTTAAAGGTCATAATCCCACTTTCCTTTAATCAATTTTCTGATACTGTTTAAGTTTCTTTTTCTTTATACTGAGGCATGTAATTTTCTAATCATAGTTGCAAGTTTCATCAAATATTTATTGTATCAGTGCTGTATTTTGCGTTATTTAAGAGAGGAACAATGACATTCAGAGATTAGTTGAAGAATTGTGATTAATAAACATATCAGAGTTAATACATGGTTGTAATGCATTCTTACTAATAATCTTTATTTTTTCTTCATTCTTGATGTTTAAACAAAAGCATATCACATCATCCTCTTTCTGAATCTGCTATATCTTTAATGTGCAGAACTGATTTCCTCACTGCAGGGAATGCTCTAGGGCAAAGCAATTGCAGAAACTTCATTGATGCACTTGTAGAAATAAAAGCAAATTTGCTTCATGAAACAAGTACTGAATCTTTTGGTTTTCACATTTTGTTGGGTGAGCTGGCCTCTGATCTATATATCTATCACTTACTTGCTTCTTAAATAGAACAATTTACTACCCTTTTTTAGAATTAACATCATCACTGTCATTTGTAATCCTATAAATAATTAATGCATTTTTCATATGTCAGTGTGCTTTTACCCAACTGGATGATGTCCTTAACCAACCTCAGGAACTTAACACTAGCTGGATGCATAAACTGCAAGCATTTGCCTTCCTTGGGAAAATTGCCATCCCTTAAATCTTTGTGTATAACTGTCTCTGTACTCCTTAAAGGTCACAACACTGGGTTATGGAAGAGAAGAAGAATGAAGGACCAATTCTTTATAGTTCAATGGTAGAAACTTCATTGAGGGACATATATTGTAACAAGAAGAAACTTTTGGCTGATGAAACAGGTGCTGAATCTTCTGGTTTTCACATTTTCTTGGTGAGCTCTATATATGGATAAAATTCTTCATAATTTAATTTAATAATATATATTTACTGCTTCTGCTTTATATATAAAAGTATTACTACAACACAACTATACATAAAACCAAACAAAAGATGATTCAAGGTTCTGGCCAACCAGGCTCACCATTACTGATTCTATTATTTTAAAAGGATTTGGTATATATCAACATTGAAGTCTGCATATTTTTGTTGAATTATTGGTATCAATAGAAGGTGCGCAGGGCCTTGCCACCATGTAACATTTGTTGGTTTCTAGGCTTCTTCTATGTTATGTAGTATAAGAATTCAAACGATGTCAAAAGCTTCACGAATATATCTCTTGCTCTTTCTTCTTACAAATAGTTACCTTTTCTGATTATGGCTGAAGCTATTATCTCCAGTGTCTTGGAGCAGCTGACTTCAATCATTGCCCCAGGGATACAACAGGAGGTGAGGCTAGTTGTTGGTCTTCACAAATAAGTTAAAAAGCCCAGGAGCAATCTTCAAGCAATTCAAGCTGTGCTCCTTGATGCAGAGGAAAGACAAGTGAAGGAGAGAAACGTCAGACTTTGGTTAGATCAGCTCAAGGACACGTCTTATGACATTGACAATGTGTTGGATGAGTGGAACTGTACTTTGTTGAAACAGAGAATTGAAGGGGTTGAAAATGCCCTTGTTCCTAATAAGGTCTGTTTTTCTTTTCACATTGCTTGGTGAGTAGCATCTCATCTATATTTCTATATGCTACATTGCTTCGTTAAAAGAGCAAATTGTTGTAGATGATAGCCAATTACCTATTCATATATACACAATCCCTTTTTAGAATTAACATTGTCATTGTCATTTTTAATCTTGTCAACAATAGTAATGCTTGCATCTTCATGTCACAATGTGGTTTAATATCAGTTGATCATGGAATGATGAATCGATGCAGAGGAGGAATTCGAACATTATGGTACAACATGCTAGATGGGAAGTTCTTATCAATGAAAGTATGCTAGATGAAGAAGCTTCTCCAATTACTCTAGACCCTCGATGAAATCCCTTGATGACTGGTACAGTGAGGTTTTTTTTGGTTTTCTCTCTTTAGTATGACAAAGCCCTGTTCTCTCGAATAAACTTTGATTTTGATATGTTAATTTTGACAAGTTTAAGATGTCGTGAGGTCGTTTTCTTGTTGCATTTGATCTATTTGAGCTTATTGAAACCAGGCATCCAATTCTGTATACTGTACTTTGTATCCCTCCTAGAAAAAGTTGACAGGCTTCAAAATATTTCGCATAACCTATGTTTGTACTTTCTAAAGGTCGTAATCCAACTTTGCTTAAATCAATTTTCCGATAGTGTTAAAGTGCTTTTTACTTAGGCATGTAGTTTTCTGTTCATAGTTCCAAATTTCATTAAATATTTATTGTCTCGGTACAGCTTTTTACATTATGGAAAAAAGAAAGAATGGCATTCGGAGAGTAGTCGAAATATCTCGATTAATATGGAGTTAATGATACGTTATACATTCTCACTAATAATCTTTATTCATTCTTTGCTTCTTGATATTTAAACAGAAGCGCATCTTAGAATCATGTTTTTGATTTTGTAATTTCTTTCATGTGCAGTGTGAAAAGAGTAAGTAATGAATTTTTGGGAATAGAAAGGGATACACATCTTCATTATTTATTTTCTTCCTCAAATTGGAAGTTCTTTGTTTTTTAAGAATGTATGAATGGAAAAGTGGGATTATGAAATTACAAGAAAGGGAGAAGAAGAAGATGATATTACAATCATGCCATCTCTTGTTTCCTCGCAAATTTATAATCTGTCTCAAGTTGAAGGCACTGTTAAACCATCTTGTTCAGAATGCAGCATTGGAAATATATATTGATGGTTGTCCTCTGCTAGGCTAACCTTGGAAGGCGAAAACTAGTTAATTAATGTATATAGCGAACTTTTACAGTGAATTATTCTTCAAAAATTGAGTATATTTTATTGCATAATCATCCCACTATATTCAATTTGTTTATATATTTTTGGTTTGATAATTAACAATAGTTTATATTGAGTTATATATTAAACTTTACATTGTTAAAGCAAATTAATTAAATAATTAATACCAACCAATAACTTCACAAAACAACAATGTATAATACAACCCATTAAAATAAAACCAGGAAATTGTTTTCAAAATGGTGTTTTAAAAGAATGATTCATAGTGTAAAACTGTAAATGTTAAAAGAAAAAAAAAGATTTATACTCTTTGACACTGAATTATGCAAGCGGGTCGAGGCCTAATCGGTTTTTAAAACATTGGTTTTGTTGGTATAAAATGGGAAGGATCAATGAATTATATGAATGAAGCACCTGATGAATTTTGTTCATTTTGTTGTAATGGAGCTGATTGATGAATTAATGGTGATTAAATTGTAAAATGATATAGTATTTGAAGATTTTTTTTGGTTAAGTTTCTATTTGAAATTTTTTTATTAGTTGTTAATTTAGTATAAAAGATCAATAATACAATTGTTAGATATGGTTCATACTTTGCATGAACTTGACCCCTACGTAAACGCATTTGGGGGTCTCGCTTTTCGGTGAGTGGGTGAGGCCGCGAGGGTGATGGGCAGTGCTCCCTTCACGGTAAGTCTAATTAGTAATTGAACTTATTATTGTTTTATTAATTGCATAAACTTGAAGCGTTTGCTTCCCTGGGAAAATTGTCATCCCTTGAATTCTTGTATATAAATGATATGAGGAGTTGAAAAGAGTGAGTAATGAATTTTTGGGAATAGAAAGTGATGGTACATCTTCCTATATTCTTCCCCAAATTGAAATACCACTTTTAGTCATAGTATGAATGGGAAGAGTGGGATTATGAGATACAAGAATGGAGAAGAAGAAGATATTACAATCATGCCATCTTTGGTTTTCTTGCAAATTCGGAACTGTCCCAAATTGAAGGCATGCCAAACAAACATTGTTCAGAATACAACTTGGAAAAAGTTATTCAAGATTGTCCTTTGCTAGGCTACGATGGATGAAGGGGAAGATGAGAGGTAATATTTTTTTTTTTTTTTATTTTTGTTTAAATAAAAGTATTGTGATTGAATAATTAATGAATAGAAGAAAATGAAAAAAAAGGCATGTATTTAAGTTAATGATAATGATAGATTTAGTTAGAGGTAATTGAAATAGAAATAATGGTGGAAATGAAAGAAATAGTAATAGAATATGAATACATTGCCAATTTTAATTAGTATGATGATTATGTTTACATTGGCAGTTATTTAAAGGAAATAGAAATGATAAAATGAATGATTGAGAGAGAAATAGCATTGGATTTGTTGAAGATGTTATATATTACTCTACTCCACTTGTTTAACCAAATTAGTTGTTGTGTTTATACATAATGCAATATTGGCCCATTAGTACAAAATACGTTAAAGGATCTTGTTAAATAGGTTTTTGGTGGACTTGTGAAGATCAATATTTTTTCTGAATTTATTTTGTTAATCTGAATTATTTATTTTTTAATTTTTTTTAGTTTTATAAAATTTTTTATTCATCAAAATTAGATATTTAAAATATAGAATATTTATTTTTTGTAAAATTGTTAAAGAATGGATTGGTCATTAATGCAAAATTAGGTACATGGGCCTTGTACTAGAGATCAGTATTTGAGAGTTAATTATTAATTTAAAAAATAATATCTTAAATATTAATTAATTTATACTAAAGCATGTAATGTTCTTCTATTTATAGCTTCAAATTCAATGCAGCTTTTTGTCTTTGGAGAGAAGGAAATAATGGGTGTTAGGAGAGGAGAGTAGGCAGAGGAACTCAGTCAAGTACGTGCTTCTTTTTTTTTTTTTTGGGTCAATTCCTTTTACAAAGACATGTAATTTTTTCTATTTAAGGTTTCATATTTCGTCAAAATATTTACTGTTCCAGAGATGCATGCTTTTGCGGCATGGAGAGAGGAAGAATGCTTTGCAGAGTTGCTGACGAAATCAATTAATGGTGGGTTATGCTTTCTCAATGTTGTTCTCGTTCTTTTTAAGCTTCATGTTAATATGAAAGCATATCGGAAGAATTTCAATTTTCTGTTAAACTTTCAAAATGAGGATATATGTATTCTTTACCAGATGAAACAATTGCCCCAACACTGCTCTTTACATTTACTTGGTAAGCTAGCATTTCATACTGTGTTTAATTTGTCTGGCTGGAAAAGTTTAAGTGCTTTTTTCTGGCATTTTGTACTAAAACATGTAATTTTATTTATACTTTCAACATGTTTCAGTGCAGCATTTGCGCTATGGAAGATAATGGGTGTTAGAAGAGTAGTAGAAGAACTAGTTAATGGTTGGTTGTGAATTTCTCTTTCTTTCTTCCTTACTGATGTTTAAAAGCACTTCACAACATTGTGGTTCTGATTCAGTATTTTTTATAATATGCAGAGAGGCGAGTTAAGTGTCATGAATTGTTACCTATATTAAGACATTACTTCTGTTTGAGCTTATTAAAACCAGGGATCAGATTTGATCAACAAAACTTTGTATCATGCTGGAAAACAGTGACAGGCCAGAAAATACTATGTATCCGTGCTTTTGGAGGTCATAATCACTTTTCATACATCAATTTTCTGGTAATTTCTAAGCTCTTTCTAATTTAACTAAAAGCCTATATTTTTCAATTATAGGTAATATTTCATCAACTATTTATTTTCTCAGCCAGCATTTCACCTTATCAAGGAGAGGAGGAATTAATGGCTTAGAAGAGTAGTCGAAAGAATCGAATAGTGGTTAGATATGCTTCTTAATGCTGCTTTCTGTTCTTGCTTTGATGTATGTGAATAAGTGATTTTCTAGTCATTCTAAATATTCTGAGAATTCAAGAATTTTGTTACTGATCATCAAGCAAATACAGGAGGCCATAGAAATGCAGAACTAGTTATCTTATTATGAGAAGAAACTTTATTGAGGGACTTGTAAAAAGAGATAATTTGCAAGATGAAACAAGAGCTCAATCCTATTCTTAACATTTTCCTGGTGAGCTTCAAAGTGATCTACGTTTCTATCTCCCGTTTGCTTCTGCGTAGACAATTTTTAGTGTAAAAGATACTTGACACACAGCATTTTCCAAAACCAAACCCAGGGAAACTTTGAGAAGAGGAAGAATGAGTTTTGGAGAGTAGAGGAAAGAACTCAAGAAATCGATAATGGTGGTTATGCTTTCTCAATGTGGCCTCTGTTCTTTCTTAATTCTTGATGTTTATTTAGAAAGTAAATCACATCATTTTGTAACGGTTCTGTTTATTTATTTTTATGGTTGCTACAATGCTAAGAATTTCAATTGCACATGATATATGCACAGAAGAAAAACTGAGGCACTTGTAAGCAGAGAGAAAATCTACCAGATGAACCAGTGCTCAATCCTTTGTCTCACATTTGCCGGTAGTAGAATTTGATACTATTAATCATTGATATATTGCTTAAGCAATTTTTTACTTTTAACTAAGGCATTCAAATTTCTATTTGATCACACAGCTTCAGAATTGTGCCTTAGGAAAAATATGGAGAGGATGGACAAATATAGGAGATGATGTACTCAAAAGACTCAAGTGGTTGGTTATGCTCACTTCTTGTTTTTCCTTATTTTAAACTAGAAAGCACATCACAGCACAATTACTGGTTTTGTAAGTCTTTAAATTTTATGCAGGACTGATTTATATATCTGTTATTTGGTTTCTCTTACTGTTTGATTGCTGTTATGTCAGAAGCTTTCAAATTACAGTGGATTCCCTCTATGAAATCCTTTGATGATTCATTGTGATAGGTTTATTTTTCTTGCTTATCTCTCTACATAGTGTGGACATTCAAACCATGTTCTCTAATTAAACTTTATTTTGATATGTTATTTGATGCAGAAGGCAAGTTAAGATGTCATGAATTTCTGAAGAATCAAGGTTGACAATGAGTCATAAATTTCAGCAAAACTTTCCTATGTAAGGCATTTGTTCGCTTTAGCTAATTGAAACCAGGCATAAAATTCCTTCGCAAAACTTTTGTCCTGCT